CCGCTCGCAGCTCCTCCACCCGCAGCCCCCAGGTCCCCGGGAGAAGCATCGCCTCTCCCAAGGTGTGTCCGTGGTTCTGGGCATTCCTGTGACTCCTCTGCCCTGGGCCATTCCACAGCTGTTCCCGAGGATGCAGGCTCTGCTGTTCCATCATGGAATGAAGCAGGAATATCTCACGGTGGGTTATGTCTTCCATGAGTTCAGGTTTATCCTCCACTTCCTCCTTCACAGGCCATGGCTTGATTTGGCTCCCCACTCCACTGGCTGCTTCCAACGGGGCTCTGCTCCTTCCCTTGTGACAGCCAAACTTCTGGAAGTTCCTGTCCTGGAGACACCACAACGTGCTCCATCCTGCTGGGAGAGAGGTGGGAAGGGGCTGGATCATTCCTGGCTGGAGCAGGGAGAGGAACATCCCTTCTTCCCAGTCTGGGACTACCCAGGCTCCACATGCCAACCTCCACCAGACGTCAGGGGAGCTCCACAGTGGGAGAAGCCCTGGGAGTGGCCCAGGGATGGGGCTGGAGCAGGAGGGAGCAGGACTCACCTGGACACGAGGTCTCCAGACCCTGGTACCCACTGGCTCTGGGCCACCAGTCAGAGGAAGGCTCCTCCAGCCAGCTCTCAGTGTGTCCTGCAGGGAAGACAGCAGATGTCACCAGCCAGGCTGGAAATCCTCACTCTCCACGGCCATGGGAATGAAGGAAGAGCCCTGTTCTTGTCCCCACCAGGAATCCTGACTTCTCCACAGCCACGGGGATGGAGCAGGAAGCCCTGACCCCATCCTGGATGTGGATTCCATCCCACGGGGTCGAGATGTTGCTGCTCACCTGGGGATGAGGAGATCCACGGCTCTTCCCCGCGCTCCAGCCGGTGCAGGACATCAGGCTTGGGGCCTGGATAACCTGGGAATGGACAGAGGGCGTTGGACTGCCCCTGATCACAGGAAAACCAAGGACTGGGACACCCCAGCTGTGCCTCACCGTGCATGGAAACACCTCTGGGATGTGGGAAAAGCGAGGGGGAAACCGAAGCTGCTGCCAGAGAGGGATTTATTCCTGAGAGCCCTGATGGAAGTGTGGGGAGTTCCACAGCTTCCCAGTTCCACTGACATTCCCAGTGAGGGAATGTCTCCTGCTCATCGCAGGGGTGGGACACCCCACTGTGCTCCCTGATCTCGGGGAATCATTTCCAGGGGTGCTCAAACCCAGACCCAAATCCTGCTTTTTCCAGCACTGAACTCCCTGCTCAGCCCCTAGAAGGGAAAACTCCTCATGGGAAGGGTTGTCCAGCCCTGGAGGGATTGGAAAGCTGTGAGGATGAGGCACTTGGAGACATGGATTAGTGGTGGCCTTGGCGCTGTTGGGGAATTGTTGGACTCGGCCATCTCCAAGGCCTTTTCTGACCTCAGCCACTGTGGGATTCTGGGAATGAGCGCTCTGGAAGGTGCTGGGGTGGGATCTGAGGGAAGGCCTGCCCGGGGAGGTTCCCAGGATTACCCAGGGAGGTCAGCAGCTCGTAGGTGTCAGACAGGACGTCCTGGTACAGCTCCCGCTGCTCCGCCGTGAGCGCATCCCACTCGGCCCGGCTCAGCAACACCGCCACGTCCTCGAAGGCCATCGGCTCCTGCCACAGGATCAGGGATCACAGCTTCCCTCAGGGATCATACCCTTGTTAGGGATCTAATCCTCCCACAGGGATCACACCTTCCCTCAGGAATCAACTCCTCCCTCTGAGATCAACTCCTTCCCTCAGAGATCACACCCTCCCTCAGGGATCACACTTTCCTCAAGGATCAACTCCTTCCTCAGGGATCACACTCTCCCTCAGGGATCTAATCTTCCCTCACAGATCACACCTTCCCTCAGGGATAACTCCCTCCTCAGGGATCACATCTTACCTCAGCAATAAACTCCTCCCTCAGGGATCACACCCTCCTCACGGATCTAATCCTCCCTCACAGATCTAATCCTCCCTCAGGGATCACATCTTCCCTCAGGAATCAACTCCTCCCTCTGAGATCACACCCTCCCTCAGGGATCACACTTTCCTCAGGGATCAAATCCTTCCCTCAGGTATCACAGCTTACCTCAGGAATCAACTCCTCCCTCTGAGATTAACTCCTTCCCTCAGGGATCACACCCTCCTCAGGGATCTAATCCTCCCTCAGGGATCAAATTCTCCCTCAGGGATCACACCCTCCCTCAGGGATCAACTCTTCCCTCATGGATCACACTTTCTTCAGGGATCAACTCCTTCCTCAGGGATCACACCCTCCTCAGGGATCTAATCCTCCCTCACGGATCTAATCCTCCTTCAGGGATCAACTCTTCCCTCACGGATCACACTTTCTTCAGGGAGTCAACTCCTTCCTCAGAGATCACACTCTCCCTCAGGGATCACACTTTCCTCAAGGATCAACTCCTTCCTCAGGGATCACACCCTCCCTCAGGGATCTAATCTTCCCTCACAGATCACACCTTCCCTCAGGGATAACTCCCTCCTCAGGCATCACATCTTACCTCAGCAATAAACTCTTCCCTCAGGAATCAACTCCTCCCTCAGGGATCACACCCTCCTCAGGGATCTAATCCTCCCTCACAGATCTAATCCTCCCTCAGGGATCACAGCTTCCCTCAGGATCTAATCCTCCCTCAGAGATCACAACTTCCCTCAGGGATCACAGCTTCCCTCA